CTAGCTAGCTAGAAAGCTTCTCTCTCTCCCCTAATGATGAAGATGTTATAACTATAGATGATTGAATCATGCAGCCGGAGCGTAATCATAGACTACATCGTCGTCATCATCACCTTCGTTCTTGAAAGATGCAAATGCATTGTCTCCATTGTGATAGAGAATCAAGTCAAATACGATTGACGACATCTTCTTTCTTCACTCTACTTAGTGAATTTTTTTTGTAAAGAAGCCTAAAGAAATACAACTTGATTTGATTAAATATTGAGATGGTTACTTGTATGTATTTATTGATGGTAAAAGGCAAATAAAATTGCGAGTGGCAAACTCGCTGAAACTGAGTCAGGGCATGTGACTCGCTGCTTATCAGTGTGTGCCAGACACAAGTGGAGTGTGAGTAAACTGAGTAAGCCACCTATTTTGCGCCCTGACACATCCTTCACTTTTTGTACATATATTGGTCCACCTCTTGTTAACACGAGTTTATTACACGATTTGTTAACATTTCTCATTAGATTATATGACTTAAATTTTTCTTAACGGAATAATAAACTTTATTCAAGTAAAGAGGAAGAAACATAAAGTTTGTTTTTGCTTTTGGATTTTAGTATGAAATATATTATAGGGTATTGATTCCCTTAACCAATAGCAACATCATGGCATCATGCATTGCATGGAACCTTGAGGGACAGAAAGAAAGATTTATGATCTGATGTCTAGATTTGGTTTGAGTTTATCTTCATTTCAACATTATTATGATCATTATTTGTTTTTTCTTGGATCAACATTACAAATTTACAATAGTTTCTCTATAAGAGATATGTTCTAGATTTGTTTGGTTTTATCTTTCATTTCAACATTTTTATGGTAAAAAATTGTTTTCTCTTTGGAACACCATTTCAATACTTTTTTTTTTTTTTTAAACATTGGGGTTTTTCGAAAGTAGAGAAATACTCAATAAACGGCCCATGTTAGGCCCATAATCGGCTCAAAAGATGATTGTGAATCGATGGTAGAAGAGACGAGAGACTTATAAATTATAAAACATTGTATTTGTAGTTTGTCATATCTCATATGAGTCTTGAGCTGTCTAAATGATGTTCTTTCTTTGATCGTGACGTGGCAGCAATTAATTGGTTCTTGGGCCCTTTTGTGTAAGCCAACAACAACGACTATTAGTTAATAAATATTTTCACGAACGATTGTTGTATGTATCATTTCGATCTTCTTAGAAGATATTTGTAACAAAAATGTCGTATGCAACTTAAGATGAAATGGATAATAGCTAGGCCCACCAAATAGAAATGGATTGGTCTGATAAAATCTTCATAAAATCTTCAACAACAAAAATATTTGATATGGTCTGATTTAAATAAATATCTTGAAGCTGTCAAAAATATATATATATCTTAAAAAGAGAATGGCTTATAGAGAAGAGGCTTTTGCAAAAATGCCATTTTTCTAATGCCACTTTTCAAAAATACCCATTTTTTAAAACCTTATAAAAAATGCTCTTAAAAATATAAGATTTACCCAAATATGTATGTAATATTATTAAAACATACACAAACTACATTTCTATGTATCTAAAATCTTATAAATACTTTATAAATACCTTATAAATGCATTTTAAATACTTTTAAAAACCTTTAAAATATCTTGTAAAACCTTTGAAAAATCTTAAAAATCCTTTAAAATAACTTGTAAAACCTTTAAAAACACCTTATAAAAGCTTATAAATACTTGGATCGAGTCTTCAAGTAGTAGTTACAATCCATAAGTACCTTATAAACCTAATAAAACTTTATAAAAATTTCAGATTTAAAAAGGAGCATTTTTGAAAATGTACATCTAAAAGGGGCATTTTTGAAAAGGGGCACACCAAAAGGGTATTTTTAACAATTTCTCTATAGAGAAAAAAAAAAATTACAAACGAATTCGGAATTTAAAACACTGTACATGCAACCAAGAAATGTGGTCCTGCATCTTTATAAAATTTCAAGACAAATTATCGACTAGACTAGGCGTATACTATATATCAATATTAAATGTATTCTTTTTTTTTTTTTTTTTGTGAAACTTTACTTAATATAAATAAACTCAAACTCCCAAAACAGAGGAGGAAGAACAAGATAACAGTGCTGACTTAGCAAGCAAATCAGCCTGAGAGTTTTCAATACGAGGAATAAAATGAAATGAAACAGAGAGAAAGTTGGCCTTGAGAAGCTTGATGTCTTCCATAATGCCGTCAATCTCGTTAGCATAAATATTGTGAATTATAGAATTATTTTAATACATAAATATTGTGAATTATAGAATTATTTTAATCTTTATAACTATTATATGAATTAAACTAAAAGAGAAAAGGCGTATTTGAAGGATGGGGGAGGGTCACATGGAGTAGCACATGGAAATTGGGTACGAAAAAGATACGATAAGCGAGAGACACGTTACGCAGTTATTGATGATCCCCAAATGCTCCAAAAAACTACTCCATATTTTATTTTATTTGGGTGTAAAATTATATCTCTACACTTGAAAATCATATCGTATGTATAAAAGACTCTTTATTCTTAGTTCTCTCACGAGACATGCTTTACTCTTTCATCACTCCAATCCCAAATCTAACCTGTTTAATTAAATTGTTTAGCCTAGTTAACTTCAGAGTAGTACTAATCAGTAATCAAGTATACGATCAGTACTCGCATCATACGGTACCCGAATTAAATGAGATAATGGTACATAATACACTATAAATGTTGTAATAGAATTTTGTCTACTTACGTTTGTAGTTCATGAGTGGAACTACGGTATTTGTAATGTTATTCGGAAGATAAATTACCGACGAAATAACCAAAATGCATCTGTTATTGGATTGCAAATTACGTATAGAGAGCACGGTGAAAATGCGTTATAAAACATGAAAAATGTAAATCTATACACAAATAGTAGAGAATCAGTATTTGAAAGTATGATAATCCAGTTCAAGACTTTGTGTTCATTTGCATGCAATAGATCTCAACGTCGATAATTTGAATTTCGGTTATTAACAATAGAAAATAGATTTTCTAACATATAACACGATATAGTACAAGGACTAAATTTATATACTTCTTACAATTTTCAGTCCACGTGCTTCCATTTAAATTAAAATTCAGTTATTATGTTTTATACAGTTTCATAAATCTTTTATAATTTTAATATATTATTAAATGAAGCAAATAAACTCGATTAAATAAATTTGAAACGTTCCAAAGTGACATATCCTGTAAAGTTAATTTTTTTTTTTTAAAACGTGAAATCTCTTCTTTTTTCACTTTTTTTCTTTCTTTGGTTGCTCTTTTAACTTTTGGGTTTGCTGTTCTTAGAATTTTGCTAAATGCGTTCAAATTAGCTGTCCCTCTTGGCATCTTAGATTTAGATTGATCTATTATTTATTCATATCGATATTTTTTTTTTTGCTAACAATCAATTTTTTTTGGTGTTATAAAGAAAGGATTAAATTTTGATGTTACCAGATGGGAATTGATTCACATTATTAGAAACACATGCATTTCGTTAGATCACTATCGTGACTTTCTAATTTAAATAAATTTTCCCCACATGTTATGTAACATGATGAGTATGGGATCCCATCTCCATACACCATACATTAGAAACCAAAGGTTAAGACACATAATAGTTATACATTTTTCTTGCAATTCACATAAGTGTATAGTTTATGACGCAGGTAAAACTCTACAGTATAAGGATTATGATTACAATGATCTCAAATCAGATTACATAATTTCATAAATATTGATTAGGATACGATATTACGTTTTTCTGCGTCGATTTGATATGTTGTGTTTAATGCATTAGTTGTGTTTCCCTCTTGTTAGAACTTAAGCTTTCAAATTCAATAATCATTAACCAACTTGTGAAATATAAACCCCACATTTCGCGTATACTAATGATTTATTAAATTTTTTTTTTTTTCATTTTGAAAATACTACTATAGTTTGGTCTTTTCGGTTCCACCGCCGACGGTGATAGAAGAGTTAATGACTCATGAATAACACAAATGAAAATCCAAAATAGACACATTCCTTAAATTGTAATTGGATTAAATTTTTTTTTTTTTACATAAGACCCAATATAACGACCAGCTTAACACACGCCATTAACAACAGATCAGAGCAAAGAGAAGACTCTTCTTCATCATCATTCATCACACACACACAAAAAGTAACTTATTTTTCCTCTCCCTCTCTCTCATACACACAAAAATGGCGGAGCTTGAGAACCCAAGTGTAATGTCGAAGCTAATAGCATTCTTATCTTCATTGCTAGAGCGAGTTGCTGAGTCAAACGATCTGACCAGGCGAGTCACGACTCAGTCACAGAGAGTTTCGGTGTTCCATGGATTGAGTCGACCAACCATAACGATTCAGAGCTATCTACAGAGGATCTTCAAATACGCAAATTGTAGTCCTTCTTGCTTCGTCGTGGCTTACGTTTATCTCGACCGTTTCACTCACAGACAACCTTCACTTCCCATCAAGTCCTTTAATGTCCATCGTCTTCTCATCACCAGTGTTATGGTCGCTGCTAAATTCCTCGATGATCT